AGGAGGAGGAGGAGGAGGAGAAGGAGGACATTCGAGGACATTCGAGCGAGGGGCTCCGCGGTCGACTCGGCCGCCGCGGCCCCCGCCCGCGCAGGCCACGCGGGCTCTCAGGGGTCGCGACCCCGCCCCCTGATCAGGGCGGGCGTCCACCCCACTGGCACTCCAGGCCAGAGTAACTCTCAGGGGTCGCGACCCCCCCCCCCTGAACAGGGCGGGCGCCCACCCCACTGGCACTCCAGGCCAGAGTATCTCTGCGGGGCCGTAGCCCCGTGCCATGACATCAACCACGAGGTCGTCGCCCATCTGCAACTCGTGGTATCCGCCCGCCGTTTGGCGGGATCGTCCCATCTGGCCAATTCTGGCCAGCCTTTGGTGGTAACCCTTGTCGTAGCCGCCGAAGTACAATTGTCCCGCTCTGCGTGATCTTATTCCTGCACTCCGTCGCCAGTAGGTTCACTCTGCCGTGTCCGTAGTCGTTGTGCGAAGCCACCGCAGCACAGTTCCAGCACCAGAACTGCCCATGGGCCACTGCAATGCTGTGGCTGTCATGGATCACTTTGCCTTTGATCTCGATCAGCTCGTTGTTGGGAACACGGACTGCATGTCCATGATCTGCTCGGTGTGTCTCGTACTGCCTCCCGATGCGCACGTTAGCCTTCATCCAGTCGACCACGCTGTACTTGCCTGGGGTTAGCCAGCACTCTTGGCATACCCATTGCCCTTTCTTCTTTCGCATTCTGTGGCCCGACTCCTTTTCGATCTGGTCTCTTCTTTCCTTTGCTATTTTCTTAGGCATCTGCTTGGGCCTCTCAAGCTTGGTGGGGTCCGCATCCTTGCACACCTCGTGGATTATCGCTGCTGCCCTCCTTTGGGCCCTCATAAGCGTAGTTTCCACTTCCACCAGCGCCTTGACCTCCTGCCGTATTTCTGCCATTGCCTCTTCTGCTCCACGCTGCGCCAGCGTATCACAGTGCGCCACTTCCCGTCGGCGCACAGCACGGACAGGGTGCTCGACTGCGAGAGCGGGAGCGAGGCGCGGCTGATGGCGAGATGCACCGGCGAGTTCTTCGGCAGACGCGAGGTCGGTCCGCTCTGAGCGATGCTGAACGGGCCCCAGATCCACTGACCGTTCATGCCGAGTCCTTCGCATGGCGGGGCGTACCCATCAAGCGGCACGGGGGTCATGGCAGGCTCGGCCCCCGCCGGCTTGGCCTCAGGCACGCCGGCAGCCGAGGGGGTCGGCTGCGCGGGAGGCGTGGGCGAGCGAGCCGGGGCGGCCTTCGGCGGGGGGGCTGCAGGCGCCGTCTGGGCCTGCGGCGCCGGCGGGTTGGGCTTGTGCGCCGGGATGGACGGGGCAGTTGGCGCTGCGTGCTGCTCCTGGAACTTCGCTGCGGCGACCGAGACCATGGTCGAGGCGCGGCTCATCACGCTCGCCGGAGGCGAGGAGGTGGTCCCCGCCACGGCCGAGAGGTAGAACGCCATGGCCTGCTGAGTTGGCACCCGGATGGAACCGCTGCTCTTGTCAGCCTCCCACACCTCGGGGGCACCCAGAACGTCCTTCTCAGGGGTTCCGTCGGCGCAGCTGCTGAACGCCTCCCACGGCGATGACATGCCGACGGCGCACTGCACGTTGTCGCGCCAGGCCCCCGTGGCAGTTTGCCAGTCCGGCTCAGGCCCTGGAGCGTCTGCTAGCATGGGGCGTGGGTCCTGGTGGACGCCGCCCACCATAGTGAAGACAGACTGGTGCTGGCTTGCCGCCACAGCCAGAGCGTGTGATCCAGCGCTGAAGCCGCGCGTGACCACGCACACAATGACGAAGGCCACGCCCAGGGCGATCGCGACCACGGCCGCTGTCGCGGGGCCGCTCCCAGGGCGATCGCGACCACGACCGCGACCACGGTCGATGTCCGCTATCGTCAGCTTCATCTGGGCCGCAGCTGCGAACACGGCTGGCGTGTCATCCTTGCCGCAGGCTCGCGTGAGCGCAGCACCTGGAGCCAGCCATGGCTGTGGGCCGCCGAGTCCTGTATGGTGCAGATGCGCGCCGGCGCCGCGTGGTTCCTTGTGAGGTGGGAAATCCAACGGCAAGCGCTCGCGGAGGCCCCGCTCGTGCGCACGACACCCTGGGCATGCGCGAGCGCATACTCTTGAGTTGTGGCAGCCGCCAGCTCCGCGATGGCGGCGCGCGTCGGGAAGTCCAGGGGCCTGGCTGCCGAGTAGATGCCCAAGGCAGAGCCAAGCGCGGTCGCCACGCCCATGGCAGCGATGCACACCAGGCCCATCCAGCGGCCGAGGATCCTCATGAAGCTGAAGGCGACGATGGCCATGCTCAGAGCGGCCGTGGTGGGCACGATGGTCAGCGCGACAGCTGGCACCACGCCAAGCGTGAGCCCGGTCCCGATCGTGAGCACGCCGGAAAGCACCAGGAAAGCGATGCCGATCGCTTCCTGCGCCTTGACCACCACAGGCACCTGGCCGGGGGCCAGCTGCGGGCCTGCCGCCAGGTTCGGGCTCGAGTCAGCCGTGACCTCAGCGCGAAGGTCGGCCTTCGGCGCTGGCGCCGCCTGGGCCGCTTCGCCTGTCGCGGGGGCACGGCTTAGCGTGGCCGCAGCACGACGGCGGGGGGCCGGGGCCTGGGTGGCCATAGCGCTGGCGTGTGCAGCCGGGGCTGCAGTGGGGGGGGGGCCGGAGGTGAGCCCAGCCGCGGGCTCGCGTTCGTGGCACTGCTGGCACTTGCGCGAAAGCGAGGTCTCCTTGAGCCAGGAGGAGGAGGAGAAGGAGGAGGAGGAGGAGGAGGAGGAGGAGGAGGAGGAGGAAGAGGAGGAGCAGGGGCAGGAGCAGCCGGGGGGAGGATGAGGATGAATCGCAGCAGCAGGAGGCGGAGGAGGAGGAGGAGAAGGAAAAGGAGGGATCATATGAGGAAGTCTAGGAGGAGGACTAGGAGGAGGAGGAGGAGGAGGAGGAGGAGGAGGAGGAGGAGGAGGAGGAGGAGGAGGAGGAGGAGGAGGCGGAGGAGGAGGGTTAATCATTTCGAACAGGGGCCTGCTCGGATTGAAAAATTTGAAAAATTTAACTGGTTGAAAGATTGAAAGATCTTTCAATCCGGGGATCCTGGGATGAAAGAGTGAAATAATAACAGATTCTCTTAACCGGGCGCGTCCGGAATGAAATATTGAAAAATTCAAAGAACCCCTATTCTGCCATCCTATCATTCAAACCGGGACCCCCAGAATGAAACATCCTTGAATTTTGCATTCCCTACCTAATTAGGCTCTGCCTAGAAAGGTTCCTACTCTCTGGGCTTAAAAGGCCGGGCAGTGGAAAGCGCTCCGGGCGGTTCCCCCTGTATCCGCCCCGCGGTTCCCCCAGTTACGTCCCCTTAGCTTAGCGTTGCTTATCTCATCTTGGCTTAGTTTATTTCATCTTAACTTAGCTTAGCTTCATCTTAGCTCAGGTTTATCCTAGCTTAGCATGGGTGTAATTCCCTCCCTAGGTTCTGCCTGGAGGGTTAGCTTAGCTTAGCTTAGCTTAGCTTAGCATAGCATAGCGCAGCGCTGCATTAGCGTAGCATAGCATACCATAGCCAAACGTAGCATAGCATAGCGCAGCATCTCATAGCATAGCATAACATAGCGCAACTTTGCATAGCATAGCTTAGCATAGCGCAGCGCAGCATGACATATCATAGCTTAGCTTAGCTTAGCTTCGCATAGTGCAGCATATCATAGCATAACATACCATAGCATAGCGCAGCATATCATGACATAATATAGCATAGCAGCTCATGCTGCTTTCCTAGGGGCTCCAACTTCTAGGTAGGGTCGCACTGGGGTAATTCTTTCAATCTTTCACTCCGGGATTCCAGCCCCGCCCCAGGCAAAACCATTTTTTATTGATCTGCTCATCCTGAATATGTTGGGGTGCGTTCCCGGGCCTCCTGGCATCTAGGCGGGGCTTTTCCCCGGGACTCCTCCCCGGACCCCCCCCTGGACAACTCCAGTATTCTTTCCCGGAACCCCTGCCCCGCCCTTGGCGAACCCGTTTTCTGATTGATTTGCCCATCCTGAATATGTTGGGGCGGGTCCCCGGGATCCCCTGAGATCTAGCCGGGACTCTTCCCCGAGACTCCTCCCCGGAACCTCCCAATGGTTACTCCGGGATCCTCCCTCGAGATCCCCGGGCACTCCCCTGGGGAGCATGAGCTGCTCGGATCGGCGGACCCCCCCCCCGATCACTCCGGGATCCCTCGGGGCCCCCGCCCCGCGTCTGGCGAACCCATTTTCAAACTGATTTGACCGCCTCGAATATGTTGGGGTGGGCCCCCGGGATCCCCTCATATCTAGCCGGGGCTCTTTCCCGGCACTCCTCCCCGGAACCTCTCCGGGACAACTCCGAGAGCCTCGCCCGAAACCCGCGGGCAGTCCTCCTGGAAACACGAGCTGCTCGGATCGGCGGCGCTGGCCAGAAGCAACTGAAATTTTCGGGGTCAGCTCGGCCGCTGCCGCGCGCGTACTTCTGTAGCCGACGTCGCTGCAGCGCTCCGCTCAATTTGACACCGAGAGACAGATGCCCAAATCTCATCAGCTCTCTGGGCGAGAGGTTTCGCAGCGCGTTGGAACGGCCAAGAGGGCCCGAGGTAACTCCAAGAGCGCCTCGGAGAGCTCAAGATGGCGCCCAGGATGGCCCACGATAGCGCAAGATGCCTCGAGATGGCTCCCAATATGCTCCAATGATGTTCCAATGCGGCTGCAGCGAACCTCCGAAACCCTCAAGGAGGGTCCGAACCCCCCCCCCCGGAACCCCTCCGGGACAATTCCGGCCTTCGAAAAAGAAATGACAATCAATGATGATTGCATTTCCGCTTTTTCGCTTCCGATGGCCATCCGAGGCTTCAGGGCGACTCTCGGATGACTCAAGCACGCCCCGCGAAGACCCAGGAGAGCCCCGCGCCGGCGCCAGGAGCGCCCAAGCCGCCCCCGCGCTCACTCTGCGGCGGTGCCAGAGGGATGCCTCCTTGTTTTCGTCCACCACTTCCACCTGATCCCTCTTCCTCCCTTCCTTTTCCCTCCTCCTCCGCCTTCTCTCTCTCTCTCTCTCTCTCTCTCTCTCTCTTTCTCTCTTTCTCTCTTTCTCTCTTTCTCTCTTTCTTTCTTTCTCTCTTTCTCTCTTTCTCTCTTTCTCTCTTTCTCTCTTTCTCTCTTTCTCTCTTACTCTCTTACTCTCTTTCTCTCTTTCTCTCTTTCTCTCTCTCTCTCTCTCTCTCTCTCTCTCTCTCTTTCTTTCTCTCTCTCTCTCTCTCTCTCTCTCTCTTCTCTCCTCTCTCTCTCTCTCTCTCTCTCTCTCTCTCTTCTCTCTCTCTCTCTCTCTCTCTCTCTCTTCTCTCTCTCTCTCTCTCTCTCTCTCTCTTTTTTTTTTTTTTTTTTTTTTTTTTTTTTTTTTTTTTTTTTTTTTTGTTTTTTTTGTTTTTTTTTTTTTTCTTCTATCTCTCTCTCTCTCCCTCTCTCTCCTCCGCCTCTTCCTCCATCCCGACCGCCTCGATCGCGCGTGTGCGCGGAGGTCGCGTGCCATTAGACAATCGCACGTGCGTTTTTCATTTCAACCTCCGCTCTCGCACTCGCCGCGGCCCCCCCAGAAGTCGCCGCTGCCGCGTGGAAAACTCATATCGCGTACACGTGGCCCTCCTGCCCCCCCCGGGCTCTGCGTCGGAGCTGGCGCGCAACTCCTGGTGCCGCCTCGCAACTCCTGAGGGTCTCGCCATGTTCACTTCGAGCGGCGGAGGCGCTTCGCCGCCGGAAGCGTGTCCGGGATCGCGTGGATTGCGCGGTCTGGGCAGTGGCGCCGCGAACGGAGTCGTCGTCGGGATCGCTGGCAGCGCCCGCGCGTCAGCGATGCCGATAAACGGAGCGGGGCCGCGCGCGTGGCTGCGCGTGCTGTGGCCAAGCGCTGGCGCGCCGCATCCACCGCCCATGGCGTCTCGCTGCGTGACGCGCGCGTCAGGTCCGCCACGGGCGACGTCCCGCGGCCCTGCTCCGTCGGCGACTTGAGCCGAAAACTCAGCGGCCAGGGCGTCGAGAATTTCGTCCGGAGTAACATGTCGATCACGGTCCCGCACGTCCGCGAGACTGAAGCGCGGCGCCAGGCTGCTCATCTGCGCGCGCGTGCCGTCAGAGCCCGGTGCCGACGCGCCGCGTCCACCGCCCATGGCGTCGCGCTGCGCGACAAGCGCAGTCGGTTCACCACAGACGACATCCCGCGGCTGTGCTTCGTCGGCGACCGCCGCCGGGAACTCGGCGGCCAGGGCGTCGAGGACTTCGCCAGGAGTAACACGTCGATCACGTTCCTCATCTCCTGGTACGGCGCCAACGATTTCGGCCGCCAGGGCGTCGAGAACCTCGCCCGGACTGCGCCCCATCGCGCCGCGTGACGCGCCCAACCCTCGCCCTCCACCTTCCGCACTTTCCGTTCACGACCTTCCGCCTTCTTGCGCTATACTTTTTAGAAGTTTTAAAGTTATACAAAGGGTTTTCATGAGTTTCGCGGAATTGATTGGGCTTCAAACGAATTCCAAAGACACGCAAAGACATTCTGAGACACCGTTGCCTTTCACTTATAGTTGCCGTCATCTCTCGGCTCGTCGGCATCGTTCTTGTCGAGCTCACCATCGTCGTCATCGTTATCATCACCGCCCTGACCATTAGCACATTCATCATCATCATCATCATCATTATCATCATCATCTTCATGGCCATCACCATTATCAGCCGTCCGAACAAACATGCGACCACCACCATCTTCGTCATCATCACAATCATCAGCGGAAGGTTCGCCATCATCATGTGCATCCGCATGGCCGTTATCACAGTCATGGCCAGCACCTGAATGATCATCCTGACCATCATGGTTATCACCCTAACACAAGTATCAACTTGCCGTCCTAACCATCATCATCAACAGGGCCGTCATCATTATACTATTCACCATCACCGACGTATTCATCATTAACCACAGCATCGCACGCATCATCGTGGCCATCATCACCACCAGCGTCGCCATCACCACATTCGTCATCATCGTCATCATCGCCATGGGCACCGCTATCACTTTATAGCCATCGTCGGCATCGCCACCGTCATCATCGTTGATCCCGTCATCGCCGTCGACGTTGAATGGGGGTATGCGGGGCCCGGAGGGCGCGGAGGACGGATGAGGAATGAGAAGGGGGCAGATGCGGCGATGATAGCCCAAGATGACCTCAACATGGCCCACGACACTCCAATATTGCCCAATGCGGTGTCCAACATGCTTCGCGATACCCCAAGACCACTCCTAGACGGGCCCAAGTGGCCTCGGGGCCTCCGAAGGAGGAAGCGGTGGATGAGCCCCCCGACTGGTCATCGCGACGTGGATGGCGCGGGCAGGGTAGGGCGGCCCACAAGCTCTATAGGGCGCAGGTGGTCTAGGGCACCGCGTTCTTCCCTTTTCGGGGATGGGATCACCCGTCTCTGCCCCTTCTTGGCCCTGGACGGGTGGTTTCGCGAGCGGCCAGCCACAGAAAGAGGAGCGCGAAACGGGGGAGGGGGATGTGAGGAAGAAGGGAGGGAGAGGAGGAACACGCAAAAGTAGCAAAAGAAACGGAAGGCCACACCACAACGCGCCTTTGGTTTGCCCAGGCGCACGCTCCCGCTTCGAGCCACACAGGCGCGAGCGCGTGGGGCGTGCCGATCTGCCCCCAGAAGTGAGCGGGTGAGCGCGGTGTCCGCAGCCACCAGTGGGGCGGGCGCGACCCCCGTGGCGGGTAGAACCACCGCAGGGGCCGCGGACCAAGCGCACGCACGCGCACGCGCAGCGCAGCCCATGGCGGGCGCACGGCGGGCAACCCCAGGGTGGGCAGGTCGAAAAAGCGCGTGGGCGGAGCGGTGTGCACTGCCCAACTGGGGGGGGGGGGGGGGGTCCTGGTGGTTCCGTAGGGAGGACGACCGCCAGGGCATCCTCTCCAGTTTCCCACTCCGGCAGCCAGATTTTCATCTGGCTCGGGACGCTGCGAAGAGGAGGGGAGGGGAGAAGGCAGGGAAAGGACGGAAAGGCAGGAGTGGAGAGGGGGGAGAGGGGGGGGGGGAAGGGAGGAGGAGGAGAAGGAGGATGGATGGGCTGATGAGGGATGTGGGAGAAAGATGCTGACTAGGATAAGGAGGGGAAGGATAAAGAGGAGGAGGGTGGAGGAGGAGGAGGGCGAACTACAGGGCTAGATCTAGCCTCGAGGCCTCATGGGTGCCTCTCGGAAGTGTCCCCAGGCCCTGTAGGCCATAAGCTGCCAATGGCAATGGACTCGCACACGAGCCCCTGGCTGTCTCCCAAGCGTTTGCTTGCACTCGGGGGCCCGCGCTGTTCCCAGCCATCCAGTGGCGTTCGATCCTCTTATGTACTGAACACGCATCGCCCCGTGTCTCCTCATTCCTCCCTGACCCCCTGTTCTCCGCATGCCCTCCGCATGCCCTCGTCGTCATCAACGTCGCCGCCGCCATCAGCGTCGTGCCCCCGCCATTCGCGCGCGCCCCTCGCACGTTTCACGCCGCCCATAGGGGGCTCCATCAGAGGTCCCAACGGTGGGCCCCCATGCCCCCAGCCCGCCACTGCGGCGCACCACTCACGCGCTCGCGGCCCCATGGGGAGCCATCGGAGGCCCCGGCAGGAACGCTCCCATGCCCCGCGCTACGGCTCTAGTGGGCAAGCCGCCATGCCCCAAACCGCCACTCTGGCGCGCCCCTCGCGCGCGCCCTGGCCCCGTGACGGGCCCCCCGTCGCTTCGTGGCTAGGGGGCCCCCCCCGAGAGTCATGGCCCCTCCTTCCCCCGAGCAAATGATTCGCGCCGCCATCTCGCCACTGGTACACGCCCCTCGCACGTTTAAGACCCGAGGCGCAGCGCGGGTCCTCGCGGGAGCCCGGCGCGCATGGCGGGCCGGCCGAGGTTTCGCCGCGCGGCCGCGTCGCCCGCATCTCGCCGAAAATTCGCGCTACGTTGCGAAAACCAAACGAAACAGCGCAATCCAACCGTAAACTCAATGAAGCCAACGGAAACCGATTGAAATTTTGAGCAATCAGCGGGAATCGTGCAAAACCTGTAAAACCAAAGCGAAATTCAAAACAGTGAAGATTGCATGAGAAACATCGCTTCAGTTCGCAATGGTTTTCCATAGTTTTCGTTGCATCTCTTGAATTTCAAACAGTTTCGCTACGTTTTGACATATGTTTCGCATGGATTTCCAGCTTTGCTTGCGGGTTTCATGCAGGTTTTCTGAGGTGCCTTCGAGTATTTCCAACGATTTCCCAGAGTTTCTACACGTTTCCCAAGCGTTTCCTAAGGCTTCTGGGTGCGATTTGGTGTCTCTGCGTGTCTGCAGATGTCTTGGGATGTCTTTCGATGGCTTTGGGTGTCTTTGGATGTCTGCGAATTGTCTGCGCGATGTCTCTGGGGTGCCTGCGGGCGCGCTGCGAGTGTCTTTGGATGTCTTCGGATGTCTTTTGATGTCCTTGGATGTCCTTGGATGTCCTTGGATGTCTTTGGTGTCTTTGTATGTCCTTGGATGTCCTTGAATGTCCTTGGATGTCCTCGGATGTCCTTGGATGTCCTTGGATGTCCTTGGATGTCCTTGGGAGTCCTTGGTGTCGGGCCGCGAAACTCAGGCACGCGGCCGCGATGTCTCAGTTTCGGGCCGCGAAACTCGGACAGTCGGTGGCGATGTCTGAGTTTCGGGCCACGAAACTCAGACATGGGGCCGTGATGTCCGAGTTCGGGCTCGCGGAACCCAGACATGAGGCCGCGATGTCTGAGTTTCGGGCCGCGAAACGCGGACATGGGGCCGCGATGCTGAGTTTCGGGCCGCGGAACTCATACATCGGGCCGTGATGTCCGAGCTCCAGCCCGCGAAATTCAGACATGGGGCCGCGGTGTCTGAGTTCCGGCCCGCGAAACGCAGACATGGGGCCGCGATATTTGAGTTTCGGGCCGCGAAACTCGGGCATTTGGTGGCGATGTCTGAAGTTCGGCTCGCGAAACTCAGACATGCTGCCGCGTTGTCTGAGGTTTGGCCCGCGGAACTTAGACATTCGGCCGTGATGCCTGAGTTCCGGCCAGCGGAACTTAGACATTCGGCCGTGATGTTTGAGTTTCGCTTGCGAAACTCAGACATTCGGTCGGGGTGTCTGAGTTTCGGGCGCGCGAAACTAAGACGCCAGTCGTGGCGTCTGAGCTTCGGGCGCGCGAAACTCAGACACCAATCGCAGAGTCTGAGTTTTGCAGCGCGAAAGTCAAACATCCGGTAAGGGCGTAGGAACTTCGTCGCTTGAAATTAATACACACACGTAATGCTTACGTTTCGCGGGCCCTAGCTCATGCACCACGATAGGATGTCAGAGTTTCGGCTGCGCGAAACTGAGACTCCAGTCGGGGTGTCCGAGTTTCGCCGCCCCGAAACTCAGACATTCGTCCGAGGTGTCCGAATTTTGGCCAGTGAAAATCAAGTGACGCCCCCCCCCCCCCAGGCTGTAGCGGACGCAGCGTGACTTGCGCGACGTAGCTAGCATAGCAAGCCTACAACGCGTAGTTGACGCAGCAGGGTTTCGCGCCGACGCGTTGATAATTCCAGTTCAAAGCATATTTGTTGCACGACTGCGTTACCATTGTGATGGCACCGCATGCGTTCGCCCCCATGGCCCCCGTCATGCGCGTTGGACCACATAGATTGCACAGCATAGCATCTACAACCATAACCAACTAAGTCATTGTTTGGGGTCCACGATGGCCAACATTTGCGGCCGCCATCCCACCAGCCCTTAAGGGCGTAGGTGGTATAAGGGGTTTCCCCTTCCAAACCCTTTCTATCTGAGCGGGGAGAGGGGGCGGCGAGACGTTGGAGCGGCTACGATGGCACAGTGCGGCTCCAGGGGGGCCTCGGAGAGCCCAATATGGCCCCCACGATGGCTCAAGATTACCCAACATGCTCCAATCTCTCTCCCTCTCGCTCTCTCTCCCCCTCTCTCTCTCTCTCTCTCTCTCTCTCTCTCTCTCTCTCTCTCTCTCTCTCTCTCTCTCTCTCTCTCTCGCCCTCTCGCTCCCTAGGTGCCACGAAGCGGGTGAGGGATGTGTCGACAAGGGTGTGGGCGGGGGCGCATGCGGGCGGTGGCGCTGGAGCTTTCGGTGGAGCTCCTCCTCGGGAAACGAAACGTGTGAGGTGTGCGCCGAAATTGGTGCGGGGGGCGCATGCGGACTTTTGGCGCTGGTTTCTCTTGTGGGGCTCCCTGCGAGGGGTCTGCCGAAATGGGTGTGGGGGACGAATGTGTGCGGTGGCACTGGTGCTTTCGGTGGAGCTCCCTAGGGCCACGAAGCGTGTGAAATGTGTGCCGAACTGGGCGTGGGGGACGCATGCGGGCGGTGGCACTGTGGCTTTCGGTGGAGCTCCGTATGACGCCACGCAACGTGTGAGGGCTTATTGGGCCACGAAGCGTGTGAGGGGTGCGCTGAAATGGGCGGCGCGGACACATGCGGGCGGCGCCATTGGGACCGAATGTTCATGAGGCCGCGCTGTTAAGCGGGTTGCCGCAACCAGTGGCGCGGACGCATGCGGGCGGCGCCGCTCGGACCTTCGGTGGAGCTCCCTAGGGCCTAGGGGGCAACGCATCGTATGAGGGGTGTGCGGAAATTCGTGGTGCGGGCACATGCGGGCGGCGCCGCTGGGACCGTCGGCACGAAACGTGTGAGGGTTGTGGGAGGCGAGTCGTCATCATCGCCGTCATCGTCGTCATCATCATTGTTCTCATCATCGCGATCATCACCAGTGTTGTCGTCATCCTCGTCATAATGGGCATCACCACCATAATCGCAGTACGGTCGATCACCATGATCACCACTATCATGTTCGTCATCATCGCTGTCAGCACCACTTTCCTTACCACCACCATCATCGCCGTTATTGCCATCGTTATCATCATCACCACTACCATCATCATCATCATCATCATCGTCATCATAAGCATCATCGTCGTTTACGTCGTCATCGTCATCATGTACATCATCGTCACCAGCATCACCACAATCTGCAATTATCTATAAGTCGCAACTACACAAAGACACAACACAGACATCCACAGACACGCAAGACATCTACAGACATCCGCAGACATCGAGAGATACCCAAAAATAAGCGAAGTGACCTTCCTTCCGGAAGGTGCGGAAGGTGGAGGGCGAGGGAAGTGGCGCCGCCGCACTCCGGAGCCAGCGCGCCTGCGGACCCGGGGCGCGCCGCGTCGTCAAAACCGCGACTCCGCGCGGCATGCGCTGTATGAGCCGCGCGGGGCTCCGTGACGTGCATTGCGCATGTATCCCCAAGCCTGGCTCCGAGTTATCCGACCTTGAATCTCCATCCCTGCGTGCAGCGCGCGCAACCTGCACCTGGGATGCACATTTTTAGCGATCTTCCAAGTCCTGGGCGCTGTCGCCCGCCACATCTTAACGCTGGCCCGCAGAGCGCTGCCGCGCGCGCGGCGCCGGGCGCATGCTTGCGCTGCATGCCGCTTGCGGCTCATGCCGTGTACTTGGCCTACGCGAGCCTACCCGCCGCCAGTTCCGCAGCTGCGCCTGCGCGCTACCGACAAGCGCAGTGCTCCTCCACGAGCTGCCGGCCGTGTTCCGGCCCCCTTGACTCATGTGCCTGTTATTATCATTTGTTGTGCTCTCTCTCTCTCTCTCTCTCTCTCTCTCCCTCTCTCTCTGTCTCTATATCTCTCTCCCTCTCCCTCTTTCTTTCCCCCGTATCTCGCTCTCATTCTCATTCTCTCTCTCTCTCTCTCTTCTCTCTCTCTCTCTCTTTCTCTTCCCCCCCTTTCCGTCTCTGTCTGCCTGTCTGTCTGTCTGTCTGTCTGTCTGTCTGTCTGTCTGTCTGTCTGTTTGTCTCTCTGTCTCTGTCTGTCTGTCTGTCTGTCTGTCTGTCTCTGTCTGTCTCTGTCTGTCTGTCTGTCTGTCTGTCTGTCTGTCTGTCTGTTTGTCTCTCTGTCTCTGTCTGTCTGTCTGTCTGTCTGTCTGTCTCTGTCTGTCTCTGTCTGTCTCTGTCTGTCTCTGTCTCTCTGTCTGTCTGTCTGTCTGTCTGTCTGTCTGTCTGTCTGTGTCTGTCTCTCTCTCTCTCATCTCTCCCTCGCTCTCACTTCTTCTCTCTCCCTCTGGCCATCCTTGGGGGCTCTCGGGCTCCCATCCTGGGTTCCTGGGTTCCCGAGTTCCTGGCTTCCTGGATTCTTGCGCTTGGTGTTGCTGGGTTGCTGGGATCCTGGGTTCCCAAGCTCCCAGGTTTTTGATTTTGGTGCACCTGGCTTCCTCAGTTCCTGAATTCCTCGGATCCCAGTGCCCTGGGTTCTTGCGTTTGGTGTTCCCTGGTTCCTGGGTTCCTTCTTTTTTTGTGTTCCTGAGTTTCTGGGTCTTGAATCCCAGGTTTCTGGGTTCCCCGGTTTTTTGGGCTCCACGGGTCCCTGGTTCCAGGGTTCTAGGATTAAAAGGTTCGCAGGTTTGGCGTGCCTGGGTTCCAAGGTTCCCGGTGCCCAGAGTTCTTGCGTTTGGTGCTCCTGGGTTCCTTGGCTTCTGGGTTCCTGGGTTCCTTGGATCTTGGGCTCCTGGGTTCTTGGATTTGAAATTCCTGAATTTCTAGGTTCCTGGATTCTTGGGTTCCTACGTTCCCGGCGTCTTGGGTTGCCAGGATCGTGGGTTCCTGGGCTCCTGGGTTCTAGGGTTCTTGGGTGCCTTGGTTCCTGAGTTTCCCGGTTCCTCGGTTCTTGGGTTCCTCGGTTCTGGGGTTCGTGGGTTCCCGGGTTCCTGCGTTCTTGGTTTCCTGGTTTCCTGAGCTCCTGAATGCTTTGGTTCCTGGATTCCCGGGTTCCTAGGTTCGTGCGTTCCTGGGTTCGCGGGTTCCTGGGTTCTTGGGTGCCTGGGTTCTTACGGTCCCCTTGTCTGGGTTCTACAGGGTTCGTGGGTTCTTGGAATCCTGGGTTCCTGAGTTCCTGGGTTCCTGGGTTCCTGGGGTCTCGCGTTCTTGCGTTCCTGGTTTCAAAATTTCCTACATCCTTTGGTTCCATGTCTCTGAGCTCCTTCGCTCGTCGGATCGCACATTTATCTGGGTTCTTGGATTCCGAGGTTCCTGGATTCCTGGGTTCTCGGATATAGCGCTCTTAGGCTGCAGGATTCTTGGGTGCCTGGGTTCCTGTTTTCCTCAAGTCCTGAGCTATTGGGTTTCCTGTTCTTGAGTTCCTGGGGCCCTCGGTTCCTGGCTTCCTGGATGTCTGGGTTCTTGGGTTTGGTCTCGCTGGGTTCCTGGGTTCCTGGGCTCCCAAGCTCGTGGCTTTTTGAATTTGGTGCACCTGGGTTCCTGGGTTCCTCGTTCTTGCGTTCTTGGGCCCTTGGGTATTGAGATCCGGAGTTTCTGGATTCCTCGGTTCGGCACTCCAGCGCTCCCTGGTTCCAGAAGTTTAGAATTAATAAGTCAGTGGGTTTGGCGTGTCTGGGTTCCTGTGTTCCTGCGTTCCCAGTGCCCTGGATTCTTGCGTTTGGTGTTCCTGAATTCCTGGGTTCCTTGGATCTTGGGGTCCTGGGCTCTTGGGTTCCTGGACTCCTGCAGTCCTGGATTCCTGGGATCCTGGGTTCCTGCGCTTCGGTGTCCTGGGTTGCCAGGTTCGCGGGTGCCTGGGTTCCTGGGTTCCCGGGTTCCTGGGTTCTTGGGTTCCTGATTTCCCGGGTCGGTCTCGGGCTGATGGGTTCCTGCGTTCTTGGGTTCCTGGGTTACTGCGGGCTCCCGGGTTTATGGGTTCCTTGGTTCCTGGGTTCAGTGACTCCTAATTCCGGGGTTCTTCGGTTCTTGGCTCCTGGGTTCCTGGGCTCCTAATTTCGTGGGTTCCTGGGTTCCTGGGGTCCTGCGTTCTTGTGTTTCTGCGTGCCTAAATTTCTAAATTCTATGGGTCGTGGAATCCTGGGTTCCTAGGGCCGTGCGTCCCTGGATTCCTGGGTTCGTGGGTCCTCAATTCCTCTGTTTCAGTACCCTCGGATCTAATGTTACCGGGACGCAAGCTTCTTCGGAATCTTCGTTGCGGGGCTTCTTGGTTTCTGAATTCAGGATTCTATTTTGCTGATTCATAAACCGTGAACACCCTGACTTCCCGGTAATCAAATTCCGGGATCCCTCGGCCTCTCGGTGTCTACCTTCCTCCCAACCTCGTTTCCTGGATTTCTTCTTTCCTCCGTTTTGGAATTCCCAATCTCGCGCGTTCTTCGGCTCGTGGATTCCTCCCGACTTTTGAGGGCGCCCCAACTTTCAAGGTTCCTCTCCATTTTCAAGGGTCCGTGTCCCTCCCGATCTTCGAACGCGCCACGCCTGACCACAACTGGCGCGAGTTCCCCTCCTGTGGACCCACGACCGAAGAGACCTTTGATGTGGAGAAGTCCGGTAGCATTATTCCCCTCCTCCTCTCCTTCTCCTCCTCCATCTCTTCTTCCTCCTCCACTTTCTCCTCCTCCGTCCCCCCGATCCTCCTCCTCCTCCTCCTCCACCTCCTCCGCCTCCTCCTCCATCTCCTCCTTCTCCTCCTCTTTCTCCTGCTCCTGCTCCTGCTCCTGCTCCTGCTCCTCCTCCTCCTCCTCCCCCTCCCCGTCCCCCTCCTCCCTCTCCTCTTCCTCGTCCCCCTCCTCCTCCTCCTCCTTCCCCCCCCCTCCCCTACCTCGGCTCTTGAGGCGGGGGGCGCGCCGACGCGGCGGCGGAAGTTCGCGCGCTTGCGCGCGCGGCTGGCATCGAGGGCGCTGCGCAGCATTGCGCCGTCGACCTGGAGGTCGGTCTGGCACCCCGCCTTGTGCTGAGCAGGCCGACGGTGCCAGTCCGCCGTTGGCTTGTGCTCCCTCGGAGTCTCCTTCCGGAGTCGCGCGAGCGCGGCGGCTTCGTCCTTGGCGAAACCTTTCAGAATGCGAAAACTCCGACGTGTACCTATAACAGATGCCCCTGTCACTGCGCGCGCGTCGCGCGCTGTGGCGACGCCCCGCGCGCTGCGGCGCCCGCGGCTCGCTCATGCTAAAACTCGTCAGCCGCGACAATGATAATATGGTAGTATCCGACGCTCTCGAGGGATGTGACAATCTTCGCGACTCAGCACGATTTTCAACCATCGTAGCTCAATATGACACGGCAGGGGGTGGTATCTTTCCCCGGCGCGCTCCGCGCAGGCAGGCGACTTTAATCCGTTCATGTAAACGCGATCGCTATGCTCTGAAATTTGACTGCAGACGGCAGCGGGCCCGCGTGCAACATGATTACGCAGCAACGGTGACAAATGCAATGCGAGGCAAACTATGCGCGTCGTGGAATAGCACTCGCGGCGGCATCGCAACGACTGGCAACGCGTGGCGCGATGTACTGGCTACTAACACAAACGATCTAAGGCCCCCACGACGCGTCTGTGTTTTCCTTGCGTATATGTATACTTCGGAGATTTCGCATCCAAGACCTTCGTTAAAGCGGCCGGTGTGCTGCGCCGCGTTCTGGTGGCCGTAGTGGCAGCCGTCCGGGTGCGCCGCCTCCTTGTCGTCCGCGTTTTCCTTCCGCTTCAGCGCGAGCATGCCCTCGAGGATCTCGATCCTGCGGTTCGCTGCGCCCAGGTCCTTCTCGGAGCGCTCGAACTTCGCCTCCAGCGCGCCGGCCTTGCGGCAGACCTCAGCAGGCACTGCGTGCAAAGGAGGCCTCTCCGCAGCCGCGACGCTGCCCGCGGCCGCCGCCTCGCAGACCGCAGTCGCCGTCGAAGCAGGAGCATCAGGCGGAGTAGCGCCGTTGCTCGCGGCCGCCGCGGGCTGCCCCGCGCTGCTGTCGCCGTCCGTGCTGATGTCGTCGTCCGCGCTGCTGTCGTCGTCCGTGCTGCCGTCGTCGTCCGCGCGGCCGCGGGGCGAAGCGCCCTCCTCGCGACCCGGCGCCGCGCCGGCCTGGGCGGCGCCAGGCGGAGCGCCCGCTGCCAGAGGCGGCCACCGCGTCTCCGCCGGGGGCGGCGGCGCGTCCGCACCGCCCGAAGGGTGGAAAAACCAAGCGCCCTTGTCAGAGAGGCAACCGTGCAAGACGAGCCACCGGCAACGCAACCCACGCGAACAAGCCACAGCGGGCTCTGAGGATTCGTGGGCAGGGTTTCTGCGCGTTTGCCTTTCCCGAGCCTTCGGCCGAAACCAGCCCTTCGTGGCCATTGCTTCTTCGTGCTGCTGAATCTGCCGAACGAGCTTATCCGCCGGCATGATCGTGGAAGAACGTAAATGTTTGAGGGCAACCGGCAACCGACACCGTCGGCGGAACGCTTGAAGCTGGACCGCGACAGAAACCAGTTAGCGTCCTGCTTTTCCACCTCTTCCTTCTCCTCCTCGTCTTGGTTCCTTCCCATCCTCTTCCTCATCCTCGTCGTCGTCGTCGTCGTCGTCCTCCTCCTCCTCAGTGTTCTCGTTTTCCTCCCCAGCGACGTGGATGCAAAAACGGCAATGATTATGGTGTTGGCTATGGAAATGAAAATGATGATGATGGTAATGATGACGATGCTGATGACGATGATGATGGTGATGATGATGATGATGATGATGGTGCTGGTGATGACGATGAGTACGCAACGACTGCGACAATGGTGATGGTGATGCTCATGATCGCGTTCTCGACGACGACGCCGTTGGTGATGATGACGAGGATGATGGTGGTAATGATGATAATGACGATACCCATGAGGACGAGGACGACGATGGTGGCGATGGCGATGGTGATGCTGGTGCTGCTGAGGACGATAACGTGCAGTAGATGGTGATGGTGATGGTCATTCTGCTGGTGGAGGCGTTCATCAAGATCACGGGACGATGACGACGATACTAATCATACGGAATGCGGACCGGTGAACTGGCACACTGGTAGACTGGCGGACTGGTAGACTGGCGGCCCTACGGTCCGACGGACGGGTGGACCGAAAGCCTGTCTGCAAGGCCGCGTTCCTCAAAGTAGTAGTCAGGGATCGTCGCGGACGACTTCGGTCGGAAAAGCGCAAGGACCGAGTGGTATGTCAGGCAGTGGCGTCGGAACTCGGCCTGAAGACAAACGGTATCCGGAATGCGCTGGGGTCGCTGGCAGGAACGCGGCCCAAAAAGGCTCCACGACCCTCCTAAAGAGTTTCAAGAGGATCCCAAGACTTCAAAACAGTCTCATGAGGGCTCCAAGAGGCGATATTGAAGGCTCCTGAGGGGAGCGGCGGAATCCAATGCCCCCACCCCTTGATCGATACTCTCCTAGATGGCCCAAAGAGGCCCTCCAGGGCCCCCGAAAGGCCCCCAAGAGCACCGGCAGCAACACCACCAACACCAGCAACAGCACGAACGGCCGCAGCAGCGCCAGCAGCAACAGCATCAGCAGCAGCACCAGCAGCAGCAACACCAGCAGCAGCACTAGCACCATCAGCAGCAGCACCGCCAGCAGCAACCAGCAGCACCAGCACTACCAGCAGCAGCGCCAGCAGCAACACCGCCAGCAACGGCACCAGCAACGGCAGCACCATCACGGCATCAACGACAGCAGCACCAACAGCAGCAACACCAGCAGCAGCACCAGCGCCAGCACCAGCAGCAGCAACAACAGCAACATCACCAGCACCAGCACCAGCTGCAGCATCAACAGCGCAAGAAGGTGGAGAAGGGAGAGAGCAGGAGGGGGAGAAAAAGAGTATGGAAACCGAGGCGGATGAGAATGAGACGGAAGAGGAGAGGGAGGAGGAGGACAAACGTGCTCCAAAATGGTATCCAGGATCGCTCAATACCCTGACCACCCTGCTCTCCTTGCCCACTTTGGTTCACCATATGTGCCCTTTCTCTCCATTTCCCCTCAGCTCTGTTTCAATCCGGGCCTCTCGGATTGAAAGATCTTTCAATCTTTCAATCTTTCAATCCGGGACCCCTGGGATGAAATATCGTTCAATATTTCAATCTTCCAATGCCCTTCCCACGCAACCAAAATCTTGCAATCTTTCAATCCTTCTGTCAGTCCCCTTCCAGCAGAACCAAAATCTTTCAATCTTTCAATCCTTTCAATCTTCCAATCCCTTCCCAGGCCTGTCTGCGAAACACAAACGAGGAAATGGAGGAGGAGAAGGGGGGGGGCGGAGGAGGAGGAGCAGGAGAAACGGAGGACCAGCAGCAACAGGAGGTGGAGGAGGTGGAAGAGCAGCAGCAGCAGGAGGAGCAGTGTGCCCCCCTGCCTTGTTCAGCCAGGAGAACTCACACTCTCGCCAGCGGAAGAACAGTACGACGGAGGGACAGTAAGAAAGCAGAGCATAATCTTGTGGATCATGAGGACCGAAGAGTTTGCTACTACCCGTTTAGCAGTTCGCTCTAAGAGAGCGTTGCGCCTCAATGTGCGCATTGGGCGTTGCGCCCATCTGAAGGGCCTTGCGCCCAAAGGGAGTCGGCGTTACGCCGAAGAAAGCAGGCAGTGTACCTCAAAGCACCCCTGGGCATTACGCCCACCTGAAGAGCTTTACGCCCAACGTTCTGGATGTCACGATTTTCCTTCTAAAGCATTGCGCTCTTCCCCCCTACGGATAAGATCAAAGGCGTTGCGCCCTGCTGTGGGTCCTCCCCTATCGTCCTCATCCTAAATTGGCGTTGCGCCTTCGACTACGCCTTGGGTATTGCACCCATGTGAAGAACATTGCGCCCTGAGTTAGATGAGTATTACAATCCATTGTGATCATCTGGTCGTAACCTCTCCTTCGAAACGCGGTTGGCATGGGCTCGCTCGTGAATGGAGGGGGTCTCCTTATCCGCCTCCTCCTCCTAGCCCCCTCCTCCACATCCTCCTCCGCTTCGTCCTCCACATTGCAAAACTCGTCGCTTCCACTCCTCTTCTATATTGTTTTTTCCTCTCTTCGCTCTGCACCAGCGGCCGCCAAACGCTGTTATCAAACGAAAGCCAATAAACCTCCTAAAGCAAATGGCCGCCACGCTTTTTTCTTTTTAATTATTTATATAGATATACAAGTGGCACGTGTGTGCCCAGGCTCATACAAAAAACTGAAGGGGCGTTTGAAGCAGGAGTGCAATGCAACATCGAAGTCGCACTCGAGCGCAAGTGGGGTTGCCACACCTTGCGATGTGTGTACCAGGGCCCCCAGGAAGCCTTAGGAGGCCCGACTTGGATACCAGAAGGGGCTCCAGGAGGCCCCAGGATTGTGAGTGTTGTGCGTGTGTGTGTGTGTGTGTGTGTGTGTGTGTGTGTGTGTGTGTGTGTGTGTGTGTGTGTGTGTGTGTGTGTGTGTTATGTTTGTCTAGCGTGTGATGTGTTGGGCGTGATTTGTGTCTCTGTGTGCATGTAGTTCTGAAGCCCCAGGAGGCCCCAGGAGGCCCCAGGCGGCCTCAGGAGGCCCCAGGAGACCCCAGGAGGCTTCAGGAGGCCCCAAGAGGCTCCAGGAGGCCGCAGGAGGCCCCAGGAGGCCCCAGGAGGTTTCAGGACACCCCCAGGAGGCTCCGAGGCGGGGTCTGGGGTGCCAGAAGGTTCAGAAGGCCCAGGAGGCCCCAGGAGGTTCCAGGAGGCCCCCAGGAGGCTCCGAGGCGGGGTCTGGGGCTAGATTTTGGAAGGATTTTTCAAGCGAAACCGCCATTCACTGAGAATCGGGGTCACAATTATTGAAATTACCATGTGTTTTTAAAGGTTTTATGTAACAATGTTGAATTTCCCATGTGTTTTTGGACCCTGACGTCGCGATCTGCGTGAGGGGTGCCACCGATTTTCAGAATTTCGAGGATGTCCCGAGCGAAACGCCCAGAAAAATCAGGGACGCGTGCGCATTAATCGCCTCTGAGCTCTACTCCCTCGGAGAGGTGCGAATGAGAATATGTATATATATATAATATATATATATTATATATATATAATATATATACTTCCTTGACCTAACAGCGAAGACTGATAGGTTTCTAGTGGGGTCAAAAGATAGCATCTTGACGCCCCAGGGGGGTCCGGGCAGGATCCGGGGAGAAGCCGCGGAAGTCGATTTAAGCAAACAGTTACACACTTCGTGGTCTTCGAGGTCCCAGAACTCCTTCCTGGGCATGATTTTGAATGCCCGGAGCCAACTGTAGGCCACTTCGTGGTCTTCGAATTCCCAGAACTCCATTCCTGGGCATGATTTTGAATACCCGGAGCCAACTGTAGGCCACTTCGTGGTCTTCGAGTTCCCAGAACTCCATTCCTGGGCATGATTTTGAATGCCCGGAGCCAACTGTAGGCCACTTCGTGGTCTTCGAGTTCCCAGAACTCCATTCCTGGGCATGATTTTGAATGCCCGGAGCCAACTGTAGGCCACTTCGTGTTCTTCGAGTTCCCAGAACTCCATTCCCGGGCTACATTTTGAATGCTGAGGCAGGCTGAGGCTGAGGCTGAGGCTGAGGCTGAGGGATGAGGCAGGCTGAGGCTGAGGCCGAGGCTGAAGGCAGACTGAGGCTGAGGCTGAAGCAGGCTGAGGCTGAGGCTGAGGCAGGCTGAGGCTGAGGCTGAGGCAGGCTGATGCTGAGGCAGGCTGAGGCTGAGGCTGAGGCTGATGCAGGCTGAGGCTGAGGCAGGCTGAGGCTGAGGCCGAGGCTGAAGGCAGACTGAGGCTGAGGCTGAAGCAGGCTGAGGCTGAGGCTGAGGCAGGCTGAGGCTGAGGCTGAGGCAGGCTGATGCTGAGGCAGGCTGAGGCTGAGGCTGAGCTGATGCAGGCTGAGGCTGAGGCAGGCTGAGGCTGAGGCCGAGGCTGAAGGCAGACTGAGGCTGAGGCTGAAGCAGGCTGAGGCTGAGGCTGAGGCAGGCTGAGGCTGAGGCTGAGGCAGGCTGATGCTGAGGCAGGCTGAGGCTGAGGCTGAGGCTGAGGCTGATGCAGGCTGAGGCTGAGGCAGGCTGAGGCTGAGGCCGAGGCTGAAGGCAGACTGAGGCTGAGGCTGAAGCAGGCTGAGGCTGAGGCTGAGGCAGGCTGAGGCTGAGGCAGGCTGATGCTGAGGCAGGCTGAGGCTGAGGCTGAGGCTGATGCAGGCTGAGGCTGAGGCAGGCTGAGGCTGAGGCCGAGGCTGAAGGGCTGAGGCTGAGGCTGAGCAGGCTGAGGCTGAGGCTGAGGCTGAGGCTGAGGCTGAGGCTGAGGCTGAGGCTGAGGCTGAGGCAGGCTGAGGCTGAGGCTGAGGCAGGCTGATGCTGAGGCAGGCTGAGGCTGAGGCTGAGGCTGATGCAGGCTGAGGCTGAG